TTAATATATGTGATTTTATTTTATAATATTCAGCTTAAGTTATATTCAAAGAAAATGTTTTTGAATATAATATTTACTCTAAATCCTTAAAAAGTTTTCTATTAACTATACTTATTTTTGAATTTTTTGTCTCATCCAAATCAAAATTATTTCAATTTTTATCAAATCATAATTTATTTTAAAAAATCAGAATATATGTATTTATCTTAGAGTACTATATATATATAGATATATATATATATATATATATATATATATATATAATATAGAAGTTGATGTAGATTCACTAAAGTTGTTTTTTTAGTCTTTTACAATCTTGAGCATTAGTAATGGTTGCTTTGTTGTAAGAGTAGCATATTTTATTTAGCCATCAAAATGTAATAAAAAACAACACAATATGGATAGACATGTACATGGATATATTAAAATTTGGATGGATAAATGCATTAAACTATACACTTGCTTTCCAAATATTGCAAATGTAGCTTTTTAATTTTACTTCTTTGTGCACATGAAACCATAAGGATAGCATGGAAAGGATAGAAAACGAAAATGGTAATGAAAGAAAATTGAACATTTGCAAAATGGATAAATGGTGAAATAGAGAGATGAATCAATATATGGTCCTTTGGATAGATAAGAAAATTATAAAGATAGACACCACTACCTTTAATATGTAAGGTATTTATAATGGCTTTTTTGTCTTAACTATTTTTATATAATTTTAACTTAATTAAAATATATATATATTAAAAAATATCTATATTATTTTTAATATTATTTTATCATATATAATTATTTTATAATTTATGATTTGTATTGATTGTACACATATAATCAAATTATTTTTATTTATCAATTATTTTTATATACTATAATATCATTTAAATGCAATATAAAACAAAAACTTACATACTAATTATTGTAACTTCAACGGCTTTTTTGAATCTTGACTTTATACATTCTATTTATGTAATAATTTGTATTAATTTTAATTATTTTAAAAATACTTCATATTTTTCAATGCAACATGTTTACAATACAAATAATATAAAAAGATACTATTTTGATGACTTTAAGAATACTAAAAAAATTAATTTTAGTTTTAAAATTTAATTATTTCTTTACATATTGTCAATACTTTGAATGATGTCAACAATCTTTAGTAAAAGTTGCAATATGGAATGATGACAATGTAATAAGAAGATAAGATAAAGAAGCAATTAGTTGTAGCACCATCATGAATTTAAAATAAAAGTCGTAATCAGGAAAAAAAATTAGGCATTATAAAAACCAGTCAAAGAATACATGTGTAATCTCTCTATTTGGATGTTTAGTAGTTATTGTTGTAAATACAACGAGCTTGTTTGTTGTATTTTGGAAGCATTCTATCTCGGCAAAATGGTATAGTATTTTGTACTTCCATGAATAAAAGAGAAAACATTAGTTTATTGAATCTAGGATTTTTGTAAACTTGGTTGTATTGCAAAGAAATACCATAGCAAAGGAAGCGCTTATATCTTGGATGAGTCTTTGATATCTTTGTTACTATTTCTTTGTGTCCCATTGACTACCTTAATCCATAGGCTAACACATATTTATTTGATTATGTTGAATCTTAAGCTTATATATATATATATATATATATAATTAAGCACTATAATTGATAAATTCTTTTAGTGACTAAAATAATAAAATTCATATTTAGACAAAAGAATTAGATATGAACTTCACCATAGGAATATCAATTGACAAACAAATCTAAGTTTACTAATCTTTAGTATCCATAATAAATAAAATAATCTTTTAGAAGTTGTGGAGGGTATTGACTTGGAGTTTGCATCTTATAGAAAAGATTGTGAATTTAGCTCCTCGAATGAGCATCCCATCTATGTCAGTTGCTATGGTAACTCCCACTGCTCTAATGTGAAAATTGTTATAATTTTGGTTGCTTAGTGGCCTCTCTTTTTATAATTAACCCACTTTGTTGAAAATTGACTCCCTTAGAGAGAAGAGAATTGGATACAGTTTCGATACTCAATGTACAACAAAGAAACTCTATATTTTTTTAAAGAAGAGAATATGAGGAAATTCTAATAGTTCAAATGTAACAAGGAATTTTAAAATAGACAAAGGTGATATATATATATATATATATATATATTATAGCCATATGGATGAACACATGGATGTTTGAATGAATACATGAATAGATTATGAGTTCTTTAGGTAGATGGGCATAAACAAACAAACACCATTATTTATAAAAAGAGGTTTACACTTGGGACTTTTGCAAAACCCAATTACTTGGATTTAGCTCTTGATATTTTGAGGATCACTCTAAATACCAAATCTAAAATATCACAATTCAAACTACCTTGATATTATCCCTTGATTCAAATTTTATTACCTCCACATATGGAATCAAAGAAGGAAGAGATTTAAGGCAAGCGAGGTAGTTTTTGATATTTTACATGCCCTTCTTTTGATATTTGGATTTTAAAATTACCCACCTTGTGAGGTAGGTGATTTGATGAAGTATCAAGTGATGTTTCAAAATATCATTGGATACTTTGAGATCTCATCATGGGTGAAATATCACCCAAAAAGGCCATGTTTGAACCCCCTTAATATACAAGACAAATGCCTATATTTTTTTTCTAAAAATGAATAGATTTTAAATATGTTCCCCAATGCTGAAATCTTTGTTGGAATAACCTGTAGGTTGTCTTTATTGGGTCTTGGATTCCATATTTGATTATGATAGACTTTTATTTTGATGTACACAATTACAGTTTCAACGATGTTTTGCCACATGAACGCAATGACAGTTTCACATGAAAATTATTATCTAAATTTTCCCAATGACTATTTTTTTTTTATTCATTAGAATTATTTTTTAATTAATTCTACCATGTTCTCAGTATTGTTCTATATGCTTATGCTATTTTTTGAAAATAAGAAATGTTTTTGTATCCAAATATTACTCAAAAAGTAATTTCTATAGAACAGAAGAGAACAAGCCCTCAAATTTTGAAAATTTTAAAGTGCAGTGGATTTGAAGCATGAGTGAATTTATATTAAATTTAAGATCTAGTTCAAATTTTTATCTAGATAAATATCTTTTATTTTTTGATTTTTGGGATTAATTCTTTTTTTGAAAAAAACCTCATGATCATAAAAGTTTTTTTATATTGAAGTTTCAAATCTCAATTTAATCTCATGACACTATCTTTAATAACTAGAAGTAAAGAAAATAAAGTCAAAATGCTTTTTGTTTTTAATTTGATAATGATATTTTTTGAAGCTGTTTTTTCTTAAGAGTTCTCATTTTGAAATACCTGTTCATACGTATTGTACTTCAACATTTAATTGACTTCAATATACATATATATATATATATATATAGATATAGATATATATACACAAACATGCACATATTACCTCATTTGTACTGTACCTTTTTGAAGTATTTTTAACACAGTCATGTTTTTTCCAACACAATAGAAACCCAAGTGAAACTAATTTTAAAATTGGTTTCACCTGATAAAAAAAATGTAGTGTATGCTCAACATTTACAATACTAAGTAACATTATATATTTCAAATTACTCTTGTTATGTTGTTTTTATTTATTTCTTGTTATACTTCATTCTCATTTTACTACAATTAATATTCAAATGTTTATGTTCTTTTTGATGTTTACACAAATAAAAATTAATTATTTTCTTATATCATGGTAATACACAGTCATAGAAAATTATAATTGCTTAATTTCAGCAAGTATAAACTGCAATAAATTTAAACAACACATAAAAAACAATGTTACAAAACAAAGAAAACAACATTTAAAGTTTGAAAGAGATACTGTCATTCGAAGTGACAATAAATGTGAAGTAATGGGAATATAAACATTCATGAGAAGTTTGAAAGCAACATCCTTTAAAACTTGATGGAATGTTTCAATCAACTATATCTTTGTCTGTGCATTTACCATCAATTGTGTAGACTGATGTCAGTCGATTTGTATTTATTTATTGGATAATATGTATTTGACACTAACTTGCATCCTTATTGTAACATGTGCTTTCATTCCGACACAAGATAAGAACCATCATAAATTTAAAATTATAACAATTTGTTTAGAACATCTGTAAAAAAATCGAGAAACTGAAACATGAGAATGACTTGCAATATATTACCCGTGTATATATATATGTATATATATATGTATATATATATATATTCATATTCATATATCTTCAAAGAATGGACTATTTTTTTGTGAGTGTAATTATATAACAACTGATGCAATATGTTTAGAAAAATAGTGCTTACACAAGAATACTTATAATAATGAAAAAAAAATTGCATCAAAGACTTGAAAATAAAATTAAATATATTAAATTATTTATAAAACAGCTTATTATTATTATTATTATCAAAATACCCTCAAATTAGGATATATTTGTACTGGATTTTTTTCTGCCCAAGCATGCTTTAGTTTTTGTAGTACTTGATATTATTGGAAAAACTAAACAAAAAGGTATACACATAAATAAATTTTCATATTATAAATTTATGAAAACAGTTGTGGAACTAAACAAATGGTTGAAAAACAAAAATAGTTGTGAAACAAAACCTTAGGATGGTTTGAAGCACAGTTCAAAATAAATACAAGAATGTCTTGAAAATCATTTGGATGCATGAATGAATTTAAAGTTCAGTTCATTCAATTTTATTGATATGAAGTAGAAGCAAAATTAATATATTGACTCAATAATGCATATCATTTTGTCCAAGTACATAAAACTATAAAGGGGTTCATTACATTGTTGTTTGAAATGATGTCATTTTGAATGAATGGTGACGCTCTTGTTTCAATCGATATCACACTTATTCTTTGATGCATTATGTTATTGTGTTCATTTCATTGTTAAAATAAGTAAACCTAATATTAAAAAATTCAAATACTTTAAAAACCACAAAAGAAATCTGAAAACATGGATTTCAAAACAAGCTATGAGGAATTTGACTTCTTTTGATTATCTATTATATAAAACAATTTGGATATAAGTTATAAGATATAAAGAAGCCTTCTCATTAGCCAAACATGGATACAGTACCCAAAGACACGAGTTTTTGCTAGTATTACATAATTCACAAATTGAAATCTTTGATTACTTCATCTTTCAACAACAAACATTCTTGCGACACAAAGAAGGCAAAAATCAACAATGCATCACGCACTCTTAACCCAATTTCACCCAATTCAAAACGCTCTTCCCCCAGCTCCATTCCAGGGTTTCCATCTCAATTAGGGTTTCAATTCAAACCCTAACCCTAATTCACACCCTTGAGTTATCTTACTCTCTGGAATGTGCCATGAACACGGTTTGCAATCCACTCGTCTCTGGTCGGAGTGTGTCAATTTTGTTTTCGGCGTCTAGTTGCACTTGCAAGTATTTTGGTTGTGCGGTGAATTGGCTGCAATTGTGAAGATGGGATTGCTAATTCGGTTCATGGGACTGTTTTTTGTGCACGTTGCTGTCTTGCTTTGGTTCGTCGAGCCTTCACGCTGCAGCCAGAGCCATTGTGGGCCTTGAATAAACCCTCACGTTTCGATGAATTCCATGTCGTGGACGTTGTAAGCTTCTCGCGAATCGTTTGGTAATGTTTCGGGTATGCTTCTGCACCACCTTTCTCTTAAACATTTCGGTTTTGTTTAAAAAATTGATTAGACAATATAGAATTGCTGGATGAAGGTGGCCGCGATTCCGATTGCTGCAGCAGAGAGTCAACAAGTCTCCTTCGACCTCGTGTTCGCTGAAGGGCTAACCATTTCATCCTCGGGGATCGGGAGTGTAACGCAATGCTAGCAACCAAAGGATTGAATCGTATGCACTTGACAGTTCCAGAAATCATGACTCTGCTCTCTCTCCGAAAATGTTCCCCAGATGATATGGCTAACGGCGACCTCAAGTCATGGAACTTCAATCTTTCTGTCACCGGAAATCAGAATTTGGAACACCTGCAGGAAAAGTGGAAATTTATACACCGATCGGAGGATTTCGCTGCCCAATTCCCCACCCCAACCTCATGTGTGCCAAAACCCGATGAGCCTCCAAGTTTGGCCTTCGCCCACGAAGCAGGAAAGGAATGAGGAATCTCAGTATTCACCGTGCTGCGATGGAATGCTGGAAACTTCGAAATATTGGTCAATATTGCTTTACATTTCTGGTATGCACATTCTATGGAAGATGCCTCAAAGTGGCATAAAGTGATGCGATTTTCAAATATTACTTCCAACTGTTAAAATCATGAAATAATAACAAAAGTATTAAAAAGCCCAGAGATCTAGTATTTCGAACCGTGCGTCTAGGTTGTTGCCATGACATGGCCTTGCGGAGGTACACGAATTAAGTCAGCCGAGACGTAGGAATGGAGAATGGTCATGTAGATGATGGAAGCGCCATGGTCACGCATTTTGTCAACACCATCGAGGATGTCAGTAGCAATACGACAGGGTTTGAAAATTGACCAAAATTTCACACTTCAAACGAAAAGGTTTAAACATCCCGAAAGATCCTTTTGACCTCAGCCACTTTCCAGGACTTTTGTCCGCTTGGTGGCTGCAATGACTCCATTCCATTGCCATCTTTGGTTTAGTTTGTGGCACTCCGACAACCCATTTCGAAAACCAAGCAGTCGTCGTGACTGTTTGAAAGACTCGTTGGGATAGATTTCGTTTTTTACTCGAATTGCGATGGGATTTCAAAGTCTGTTCCCCTCGATATCGTGCAGTGTTTTCCTGCTGCAAAAGGTTTCGCCGCTGGAATATCCGCCAACGTTGTTTTGTCAACCTTGTGATTCTCTAGTATTCGTTGATTTGAAGATCCTTGATTCTAGATTTCCTATTATTCAATCACTAGATCTTGGGAGAATGGGAAAATCTGCTCAACAGTGTGAAATCAAACCCTACATGTGTTCAGACTTGTTGACTCGAAATCGTTTTGCCCACGTTGCAATCCTGTTCGAAGAGTATTTTTTTTTAAAGAACTGAGGATCACTGGATCTAGCTTGTTTTGCATTGACACGATTATTTTACTTCGTTTTTACTGTAGTTACTTGAAATGATCATGTCATTCCATGTCATTAAAACCAAGTGGTCACGTGGACCGAAATGAATTGACCCAGCTTGGCCAGATTTACCTGAACTTATGCAACCCCACTCGCATGCCTTTCATGTCCTCCAAAGGACCATTTACTTATGACAAATCTAAAACATATTCATGTGCGTATTACGCCAGTGTTCAAGAGAAAGGCAAAGGTAAAGAAAAAGAATCACAGGAAAAGAATGTAAATAAATGACGATATCGAGTAAAGGAAAACGATAGAAAATAATAGAGAACAATTTATAGTGAGGATAGGCTCCCAACTGGGTTTGCACTGTCACCTAATAATTCTTGGTGTTCTCACACAAAAGTCACTACAGTACCATCATCACATAAACTGAAGCGATGGTCACAACAGCAATGCCTCCCTGCAATCCACCAAATAATAAAAGCAGGGATAATTACAGTGCTGTGTAGACAAGTAAAGGACACAGTCTCCAAGGCAAATAGTTTCGTCATGTCATCTTCGTGACGTTCGTGACATTCTTCTAGTTCTGGATGTTCGTTCTGCTTGATTTAGCGAAACAGGTTAACAGTGAGAAACTTCGGAGTCAATGGCGAATAAGGACCTCCTCCTGCTCTCCTCCTTCCGCACCCACCACCACCACCAACAACAACAGATCGTCTCGATCTGAAAACGCGTCTCCTTCGCCGCAAACTTCGACTGGTCCTCAAGGCACGACCAATTTCCACAACAACCCAGTAAAGAGTGCCCAGATTTGCTTAAAGAAGAAAATTCATCTGAAACGGAGTGGAAAATTTTCCAGTAATGGCGACGAAACAAAGGTAAATCAAGTCAAACTTCAACACAGAGCACCCAATCTTTCCGAAACCTCCACGGACAAAAGAAGCGGCGAAGAATTGACCCTCGGTTTTACAGTCCAGTGGGCCGGGCCGGACCGCGTTGCCCCCCCTCGCCCTGCCCTGACCCCGACCCCGACCCGACCCGGCCCGACCCAGCCGTCCCACCAGAAGAGGACCACTACACTAATGGCTTTCGAAACTTTATAATTCTGAAGGCGCGTCGAGGTTTGGCTGCATTCCTGTTGCGGGACTTGACTAGATTGCATTCCTCTGTGCAGCTTCCCGCACCGTCTCGCGTCGTAGCTTGCAGATCCGGGTGAGTCTCCTCTCAAGGTTTCGAATGAGGTGCGCCATGCCATGTTTCGTGACCATTTCGGGAGAATAAGGAACGGGTGGAAGGTGTGGCTGGGAATGTAGAAAAAGCGTCTTGTTTAGGCGCTCTGGAGCGCAGGAGAAGCATCGATCAATGCAGATTAGCGCCGGTGTGGGGATCCGTTTGTTGATTTTAGAGGTTTTCTGGTTTTGGTGAACAATGCTGGGAAGTTTCGGTTCTTAGTGACCGGCGAGCGTCGAGATGTGTGCGAGGGGGTTGGGGTTGTTGTGATTGGATGTGAGGTATAGGATTCTCGAGCTGCATCGTGTGAGTCCGAAATGGCAGCAGAATTTTTTGTGGCAGTTATTGTGGTGCGATGCGCGAGCATTGTTAATCGACATTTTTGAAGGTGTTGAGTATGTGCCTTGTGGCTGACGGAGGTTAATGTGTGTTGCTGTTGTAGATCTCCTTGAGGCGTGGTATTTGAAGTGGCGGTATCGCTTAGGCGGTTTTGTTGAGGAGTTTGAAGAGTTCGAACCGCGTTGGTTCCTCAGCCCCGCGGGGGTTACGTACTTTAAGTGCCATGGCAACGGGGCAGTTGTTCTCGCGTACAACGCAGGCCCTGTTCTATAACTACAAGCCCAGTCCTGTGCAGCGCATGCTCGATTTCGACTTCCTGTGTGGTATGTTGTCTCTTCGTTGATCTTACATCCTGGTTATACTTCTTTATTCTAGTTTAGGTCCCTTGCGTCGACAGATCATATTTTCAATGGTAATAAACGTGACTGTCAACCTTTGTTAAACTTCCTCTTTAACACGTAGACGCCCCCTTAAGAAACAGAAATTACATGCTTTAGTTCTTAATAATCTTAACGCATCTAAAAGTCTTGAGGAGGGCTCGATTGTCCCCACCTCCCTTGATAGTACTGGATATTGACAACCGTGCTTACGACATCACTTTGCGAGGATTCTCTATAACAAGTTCAGTTCCCTGATCCATACGATGTCAAACCGAATGCCATCGTCTAAATATGACTCAGTCGATCATCGATTGAATCTTCTCAGTTCTATGTTGGTTTAATACTGCTATTGTCTGCCCTTTTTTCGCTCACTTGAACAGGAGCCCACACAAGTTAAGCTGTTTCCGTACTTTTTTATTTTAATGTGTGCCAAATAGCTGGCATCAGAAACTCTTGTTCTTGACGCCATCTTGACCGTAATTGGTCTGCAGGAAGAGAGACTCCTTCTGTGGCTGGTGTAATCAACCCAGGATCTGATGGTTTCCAAAAGCTCTTTTTTGGGCAAGAGGAAATTGCAGTCCCCGTGCATGGCAGGTGGGTACAACATCCGGTGAACATTGACCTAAGACAGCTCTAGCAAGTTCGCATTTGTGTACTGTAGTACTTAGCCACCATTTGGTCCAGCTAGTGCTTTCCGTTTCATCGCCTTACAGTGGTTTCAGAAATGATTATACCCGGATAGTGATAATATAGTATCTACCTGGAAAATAGTTGTTGCATGCTGTTAACGTTATGTATATTGTCCTGGTTGAATTCACTTCATGAGACTCAGTTCATTTTTTTATCTGAATTCATTCTAAATCATAAGAATTCTGAATAGCCACAAATGTAGAGGAAACGAATAACCACATTAACTTGTTCTTGTGTGTTCCTTTCGCAGCATTCCCAGTGCTTGCAAAATTCACCCGACAGCAGATGTTTTTATCAACTTCGCATCTTTTCGCAGGTGTGAATGCTCGGTGATTCTGGAATAGTTTGTATTGTGTTATTGCCTTGAATACCCATAATTTACAGTTTTCTTGGTAAACGGGTTTTGGACAAGTTCTCTACCCACCCGTAGTTCGTCTAAGAACTAATGTGCTCCTACATTTCACTATATCCAGGAATTAATTCTTCAATCCAACATCCATGTTTGGATTCCTGTTTCTCATGAATTGATTATTAAACTGCCCTTTATTTTCCACGCGTGTGCAGTGCTTATGCATCATCCATGGAAGCTCTGAAGCAACCAACTATCAGGGTGGTTGCAATCATTGCCGAAGGAGTTCCTGAAGCGGACGCCAAGAGACTTATAGCTTTTGCCCGTGCGAACAATAAGGTACGTGAGATCTTTTCTAATATTAAGTAACATTTCATATTCTTGATGAACTGGGTCCCACGCATAATTTCTATCCAGATAGAACCATTAGTACCGGATACGCAGCGATATTGGTGTGGATCCATTGTGTGCTCATGCCAAGCAGGAGACAGTGTTAGTGGTTGAACAGTTTCAGCAGAGAGTACACTCAGTCTTGCAACTAACGATGATTTTCTTTGCCGGCAATCAGTGCGGCATTTAGTGTAATGTCAGCAGAATATATACATTTTTTTTATTCAGTTGTCTTCACTTTCACGTTGTGGCAGGTCGTAATTGGCCCTGCCACAGTAGGTGGCATTCAGGCTGGTGCATTCAAAATTGGTGATACAGCCGGCACATTGGACAACATCATCCACTGCAAACTTTACAGACCTGGATCCGTTGGATTTGTATCTAAATCAGTACGATCACCTACCTTACTATACGACTTTTCGATCATGGGTGTTGATTGGTGTCAATTGAGTAGTTGCAAAAGGAAAGGACCTGCATTTGGCGAGCAAAAATCTTCAACTCATTCTAGGAGCTGTTTATATTGGAGTGTATCTGTGCACAAGGGTTTTCACTAATTAGACTTCGTGTATTGTTGAACAGGGAGGTATGTCAAATGAGATGTACAATGTCCTTGCTCGTGTTACAGATGGTCTATATGAAGGCATCGCCATTGGTGGAGATGTCTACCCTGGGTCCACGCTTTCAGATCATGTGTTGCGGTTTAACAACATTCCACAGGTAGAATCTGCTTTTTTAAGTGTAGTTCTGCTGAATCATGCATGAGTGAAATACTCTCCACATCAATTCAACTTTGGCATGTAATGCAATATGATATTTTGGGTGTGCAGATCAAGATGATTGTTGTTTTAGGAGAGTTAGGAGGGAGGGACGAATATTCCCTAGTCGATGCTCTGAAAGAGGGCAAGGTTGGTAAGCCAGTAGTGGCTTGGGTCAGTGGCACATGTGCCCGACTCTTCAAGTCCGAGGTTCAGTTTGGCCATGCTGTAAGTTCCTTCACATTCCTTCGTGTGTCTTAAGCAGTTGTGAAAGTGGAAAGTTGTTGGAGCTTTAGCCCTCTCCTTCTACCTGGATATTTACGTCTTCGGGCTTGTCTGCAGGGTGCCAAGAGTGGCGGTGATGAAGAGTCTGCACAAGCTAAGAATAAAGCTTTGGCTGATGCTGGAGCCATTGTACCAACTTCTTTCGAAGGTTTAGAGGCCACTGTCAAAGCTACGTATGACTCACTGGTATTCGCCCTGAACCCTCTCTGAAGCTTTCTTCTGCCATTTAAGATTTGATCTGGATCTAAATTACGTTCAAGTGCATTTATATCACAGTCAAGAGGTATTTGCCAACCAATTGGATTGTGTTTGCAGGTGGACAAGAAGGTGATTATCCCAGTCAAGGATTTCGTTCCACCTACAGTCCCAGAAGACCTCAACTCAGCAATTAAGAGTGGAAAAGTACGGGCGCCCACTCACATTGTGTCCACCATTTGTGATGACAGAGGTACCTGAAAGCTGTATTTCGTCTTTGTTGTGCTTTGGGAACTGCTAAAGTTTCTATTATGAACGATATCAATTAGTTTCTTTTCTGCTATATCTTTGTTGTTTCATCTGCTTCAAATGTCCTTGTTCATTCTCTTTGTTCTTTTTTGTCTGTTGTTTTTTTTTTCCCGAGTTTGTAACGTTGTACTTTTTTTCAGGTGAAGAGCCTACATATGCGGGTGTGCCAATGTCAACAATCATTGAAAAGGATTATGGTGTTGGTGATGTCATTTCACTCCTTTGGTTTAAGCGCAGTTTGCCTCGATACTGCACCAAGTTCATCGAGGTATTCTCACTACTTTTTTGCTATTATAGGTTTCTCAATATGAGTCTTGGCATTAATGTGGGGTTCTAGCGTTTGCCCTCTCACTGATGACATGGCTTGTTTGCAGATGTGCGTCATGCTCTGTGCTGACCATGGTCCCGCTGTGTCTGGAGCTCACAACACCATTGTCACTGCTCGTGCAGGAAAAGACTTGGTTTCGAGTCTTGTATCTGGTACGAACTTTCTTTGGTCCGTTAAATCAACTTTCTGAATGTCACGATCTAAGAATGTCGAAAATGGCACTGTGTTCTGATGCTGCTGGAGATAACCTTCTAAATGATGTTACTGATTGTCTTCCACTATATCTTAAATATCAGGACTGCTCACAATTGGCCCCCGATTTGGTGGAGCTATCGATGATGCTGCTCGTTACTTTAAGGAAGCTCATGACAAGGGCTTGACACCTTATGACTTTGTGGAGAGCATGAAAAAGAAAGGAATCCGAGTTCCTGGAATTGGCCACAGGTTCGGATCACTCCTTATCGCTGCTCCATTTTCATTCTCGTGCTAATTAATTTGGGCAACCATTGACTGTGGTCTCGTGCTCACTCGCTCGTCGGTTCCTTCAGACAACAGGGTGGAGATTCCAAACAGTCGTCAGTACAAGCTCACGAAATGCTGTTCTATGTGCAGAATCAAGAGCCGTGATAACAGGGACAAGAGAGTGGAGCTTTTGCAGAAGTATGCACGCACGCAATTCCCCAATGTTAAGTACATGGAATACGCTGTAACAGTAGAGACGTACACACTGAGCAAAGCGAACAACCTCGTGCTAAATGTCGATGGGTGTATCGGGTCTCTCTTCCTGGATCTGCTATCAAGTTGCGCAATGTTCACTCCCCAGGAAATTGATGAAATCATCGAGATTGGGTACCTTAATGGACTTTTTGTCCTGGCAAGGAGCATCGGTCTGATTGGGTATGTATTCACATTCGTACTCATGATCGATTTCTTTCTTATTTATTTTGTATTAGCCATTGCTTGTTACGGTTCTCCTTAGTGAACTTTAATCAAAGATGCTTATATTTCGTCCTGATGGTCTGCAGTCACACATTCGATCAGAAGCGTCTGAAGCAGCCTCTGTACCGTCACCCGTGGGAGGATGTTCTGTACACTAAGTACACGTAAATTTATATCAAGCTCAAAGCATGGTAAGGATTCATTTGTGCCTGTAGTGCTTACCGATCAGCAAAATTTCTTATCCAAGCAGCTCTTTTCACCATTTAATAGTAGCCCTTAGAATGGGATACGTATTGCAAGACGTTAATTCTTTCAGGGCTTCAATAGGTAAGCCCTGACCAAGTCCAGAGTCGAGAGAATTCGGATTTTTAGAGGATTTGTGGTTCCGTCGCCACTCATTCATTTGCCAGGGGCTTGATCAGTACTTTCAAATGACCCTCCATTTGCTCTCATATTCTAATTTATAAAGAGGCAACCTTCATAGTGTTAATTGTATCGTTTTTCTCTAAGATCTTGTTAGCCGTGGATCATGTTCTTGCCGATTTCCTATTACTTCTTTTCATCCATAAGTGTTGCAGTATGGAGAAGGATTTAAAAAAGCGAAAAGCGAAAGCAACAAACAAATATTTTCAGTTGTAATAATGAATCATAACCTATCTCAAATTTGTAATTAAGAAATGTTTGCATAGATGCACCCTTGAAGGAGCCAATCGACAGGGTCTTTCATACTAATTAGTTTATCAGTGCTGGAGGTCAAGTAGTTTTAAATATTTGTTGAGATGTGAAAACAGCGATTGTCTATTTACGAAGTAAAGGTATATTGTAATCTTCTTCACAAGATATGGTAAACTGAGGATCATTCTTTCAGAAGGAACATACAGTTGCATCAAAAAGGTTGGCAATCCTTAAGCTATTCAAATATCACCTGTAACATCCCAATCTTCACTACAACGATACATTTTTCGAGTAGAAAATAGTAAGTAGTGAGGCGCAGATGTTTCAAAATTCATCAAACCAACAACATGAAGTAGGAATATTCAGAATTTTGTAAAATACAAGAATTTGCTTACTCAGCAAGTTCATACTTTCCAAGCTTGAATACCATTATGTTCGACCTTTGTTAAATATGATATTTTAAAGCATCTTACATTTTGCACCATTTGATTTCATTCAAATTACTTTGAGTAAAATCAGTTATTTGACTTTCGAATAAATACTTGTTGTGAATCTAGAACTAATACAGTTACCAAAAAAAAACCTTGTATTTTATAGTAATATTAAAATTCATTAAGGCATATTAATTCATCGTTTTGAAAAATGGGTCTTAACCACATTTTTTATGAATATCTTACAATTATCACCACATTCAAGTTTTTACAAATTTATCAAATTTATTTGATTTTTTTTTTTATTTCTTAAAAAATTTTTAAAAGAAAAAAAATATCAAACCACGTGTTGAATTTATTTTCGAAACAATATATAGTAATTGATTGAAAACATACATATTTATAAAAATAGAATATTTGTGTGTAAACAATTATAGTCTTGACTACTTGATATTAATAAAATTTATTTCCAAACTACCATTATTGCAATTTAAGGTATTGATATATGAAAATTGCTGTTTCAATGTGTAATAATGACTTTTTCAAACTTACAACAGTTGAAACTATAACTCACAAATTGTATGTAACCATTCAATATCCACAATTATGATGTTTTCAATACAACAATTTTGCAAAGTATAACATGATTATTTTTATTTATTTATTTATTTGTTTTTTTTCATCACTTGATTTGTTGAATGATAAGCATAAGTAGGCCCTTCTTATGAAGAACATTGTTCTATTTATTTTAGATTAATTAAAATAGGATAGAAAACTTCCACAAACAAAGAACATGTAAGATATTAGTAGATATCATTGTTAAGTCAAAATAGAGCATACTGAAGTTTATTTTTTCTTCTTGTAAAGCAAATGGTATAATTTATCATGCAACACTCTTTCTAATGAAAAATCTGTCAAATTACATTAAATATTGCAATCTCATAACTTTTGTCATAAAAAATGACACAATTTTTGATTATTTCATGGAAAGTACATTGTCATCCATTAGAAGAACTTGGGTATAAGTTATGCATTTTATTATTTTTTCAGAAATGCATTAATAAATTTTTAATACAAATAATTTTTTTTAAATTATAAAAAAATAAATTAAAAGAAATTGTATTAATTTAAAAGAGATATATATATTTTTATATGATAATAATTATTGTTATCTTTAATTATAAGTTGATAGTTTTATTTTATTCTTAATAAATTTTAATATATTTTTAGTCATAAATTCTTGTTATATTATATAATTTATTATAAAAGTAGAAAATAGAAAATAAATAAAATTTTAAAATTTTTTTAATTTTAATTTTGAAATTAATCACTAGTTTACAAATTTAAGTTCCACCAATGCATCTTAATTAATAGAATTGTTAAAAACATGGTTTTAAGCCATTTAGATATAAAAATATTAAGCTTAGAGATTTTGTTTGATTATTAAAGCATTTTTTAGGATTTAGAAAGGTTTATAAATTACAAGAGCTTTATCAAGAAAAAATCATAATTTTTTTTTGGAGTGTATAATTATTTATTTATATTTTTTTTTACTTATTTTGTTCTTGTTTTTTTGTTTTGTTTTGTTTTGTTTTTGTTTTTGTTTTTTTTTTCTTGTGAATTATATCTTTTACTTTACACCACTGATGACAAGGAACTTTTAATTGATGCCATCTTATAGTTTGGATTGAAGGGTGAATTTCATTCATCATCTTATATATATATATATATATATATATATAAGATTTAAAAAATTCTTGGACTTTTTGTTGATGTGGTCTTTTTTTTAATAATAGATTAGATCTTATTTTGTTTAATAAGTATCAATTGGCCATTCATAATGTGGTACATGAAATCTTACTAAATTAAAGTACACATTAAGTAAAACTAGGTACAAGATTCTAAGTGCTACTTTAATAGTAGAGAAGTGCTAGTATAACCTTGGTTCTATTGCAAAGTAATAATTTACTTGTATGTTAAGTAAAGTATAAGAATTTTTTTCTAAAGTAAAAAGTATAAACAAAATACCATATTTATTACTAATTCATTTGTTTATTAGTGTTTTTTGCGTGCATACAATATTGTATCTAACAATTTTGACATATGCAAAATATGTCAAGAGATGGTTTTGTACCACAAATATAATTCACACAAGTATAGTTGTAGCTTCACAATTCTTAGTTGTAAACTTATGCAAGGACCTCAAGAAGAAACAAAACATGATTGTGTCATATGAATTACATCACCATAACAATCAACCACATCCAGTTAAATATATATATCGTGTGAGTCTTTTTATTTGGGATTTTTTAGAAGCTATGGATGTTTATTCTTATGTACACAACCATAGAAAATTGCTGTAAACTTGGACCTTGTGAAAAAAGAAGCTGAGAAATTATGTCTCAATACTATAAATGCTTGCTTTGTGATTGGTAAACTAGAGTCTATCAATATTTTCACTCTAGTGATCAAGGTTGAGCAGTGGAGAGGACTTGTATGAATCGGGAGATTTTAATATATCCGTCATTTTTCACTTGGAGGCTCCTTAATGAATCTGGGTTCACTTGGCAGGACGTCCCGTGCATTGAAAATCTTCTAAAGTTACAGCAGATATCGCCTTCTTTTTGTTTTGTTCTTGTTTGTTCTTTTTCTCGCTGATCCTTGCATGAGTTTCAACTTGCAGCATGCTGTGACGCTTTATTTTGCACCATATATGAAACAGTGGCAGAAGCAGCTCAATATCGACATCTCTGAGGTTGTTCCTGAGATCACTGACATCATTGAACAATAGAAGAATCGCAAATGGAAGGTGTGAACATCCGCTCCTGTGTTTTTGTATCCCCCCCCCCCCCCCCTCTTTCTTTGAGCTGAGATTTGTCTTGTATTTATGCTAGAGTATCAAATGACAGTTGATGAGTAATGATTGATATATGAATGAGCTTATCTAGAGTTGGGTGATACTTCGCTTATTCTAAGTTACGTTGTGCTTTGCGGGGACTTGACTTGATACCGTCAGAGAATTTTATGTCCGTATCAGTTATGCAGGCAGTGGGTTCAGTCATGACCAATAAGTACAATGAAGGTTACCCGGTGGTCGCTATTACGGTGGCAACGAGTGCATAGTTTCTCATTTTCCTCTCTCTCTCTCTCTCTCTCTCTCTCTCTCTAAAATGTAACTCGTCTGTATTCTTCTTCATAAATGTTTATTGATTGACATCTTGGCTCCATTCATGAATAGTTAGGTTTATTGACACCTCTACACAACTGCAGGTTCATTGACATGGCAGAAAGATTGTGTCAAAAAAGAGCTTTTGCAGCTTTCCGCTCCGATCCAGAGAAATGGGGAGGTTGGTATCGCCATCTTGGCGTACACAATCTAGCTTACGTCTATTCTGCACATGGCCTCTTCTCCTGGCTGTTATCTGCCCTAGTCCTCGAAGTTGTTCGTGCGACTATTAGGGAAGCATACAGCGCTGGCATGCAACACCGGTTGGTCAGTGAATGTGCAGTCTCTCTCTTGGTCCCCAGCCAATTTTCAGGTCTACCCATCTCTCTTGAAGCCAAACGAGCGCATAATGGCCTTAGATCTTCCTCATGGTGGCATTTGTCTTAAGGATATTAGGTGTGATCCTTGATAAACTCTACCTATACCATCTTTCGCCACTCGCCTCAGAGCGTCAATAATTATGTACCGCTGCTAAAGATAGCTTATATGTTAATGACTAGCTGCGGTTTTCTCCAATTGCCTTACATCCTCTAGCTCTGTTGTCAAACATTACAAATAATAAGAATAAAAACCTTTCAAAAGCTAATTGCAATCTTCTTTTTAAAAGAGATGGTCATGAAAGGATTGTCTTTTAAATAAGAAGCATTCTTTGCAGGATGCAAAGACAAAAAAAAGTGGCAACAATAATGAGTTTTGAAGCATCCCACAAAAGACTAAAGAATCCAAAAATTAGATCCAAACCAACTATCTTATACACTCATTGCAAGAAAATAAAACATTAAGATTTGGATTATTATAAAAACAAGTTTAAAGGTGCTACTAATATCACAACAACTTTTAGTAATAACAAGAAGTCAAAATTTATTTAAAAACCAAAAAATATAGAAAAAATATCTCCTATATTCTATGTTCATGTACATCTTAGACAAACATATTATTCCAAGAAGTTATTTTACTCAAGAATAACATAAGATAAATATTAATTCATTAATATAGAGGCTATCTACAACTTAACACACAATCAATAATAATTCATTAATATTAAATTATTTTTACTTGGTAAAAGTAAAGTATATCTTAGTGATGATACTATGCTATCATAAAGATTTTTTTTGCTATTGCAAAAATTTCAATGCAATATTATTATTTAGAATTATCAACCA